AATTCTTTCTGAACCAAACATGGTATTAGGAATTGGACCAATTCTCACCTCTCCCAATTCTTTCTGAACCAAACATGGTATTAGGAATTGGACCAATTCTATAAAAGTGAGATTCTTAATCCTTTGGGTGAAACAAACATAGAATTGGTATTAGGAATTGGACCAATTCTATAAAAGTGAGATTCTTAATCCTTTGGGTGAAACAAACATAGAATACAAAAAAAAAATATAGGATTCCATAAAACTAAAACTTGTCTATAAATTTTATATGGATTAGGTTGGAATTCATAAATAAAATAGGATTCCTAATCCTATTCCTAGCCTCTATTGAACCAAACAGGCCCTCAGACTGTCTAACTGCGACTAAATAGAAAAAAAAGATAAAATAATAAACAGAACCGCTTAAATCAGGGAAGAGGGAGAGCGGATCAGGGGGGGAAAGGGAGACTTTAAGGTACAAAATATGAGAAAAGACAATGCGTGGTCTTTTTCTCTCTTTGGAAGGCTTGTCTGCTGCTGAGCGACGAGCCTACCCTTTAAAGATTCCTCAATTAGATGGGCAGGGCACCCCACTTTTGACTGAGAATCGCAGTCCTAACATCATGCAGAGAGATTTCAGGCTCTGGGCATGTTTCGCAATTTTTATTTATTTATAATTAAGGTGTCAATATGATGTTTTGTAAGAGTGACTTATTTGACTTATTTATTGTTCATCCGTAGGGAAAAATAATTTAAGACTACTTACAAGGAACTTTCCTTATTTTGGACAAATGACAAGAATATCCTCCTATTCCTTTTACTAATTAGATAAATATTTTCTTAGAAATTGATTAATATTAATAATTTACTTATTATTTTATTTATTAATAATTTATTAGTAATTATTTATTAACATTAATTTTATTAATAATTGTTTATTAATAATAAACCAGTTAACTAATTATTACTAATTATTATTCTATTAATATGAAATTAATTAATCTTAATATTACCAATTAATAATAACAAATAAATGTAATATATAAAAATATTTTGATCAAATATAATTCTTATTAGGAGATAACTAATTTTTAATTAATTAGTTAATTTGATTAAGAATAATAGTTCATTGCATGAAATTAATTAACCAATATCAATATTGCTAATTAATAATCATAATTAATTTTGAAATAATTAAATTTAAGTTGGTTAGTTTTTAAATAATTAATAAAATTAATATTATTAATTATCTGGTTAATACAAAATGAATTAATTTGTCACAATACGGCATTACAATAATATGACATGTTAGTTATTTAATAGTTAACACAACCCTATGAGTTATTAGTTTACTAAACACATGACTACTTATATATCCTTACAAGTTAAAGTGGTTTACCAAACGGCTTCCTTACTTTCTTACATAGTTATAAAGAGTTCTTTAAAATAAATAATAACTTACAAGAATTCAAAAAAATAAGCAATAGCCAAACATGCTCTTTGCTAGAAGGAATTAAAAAAAAAGCACTTGATCCATGACAATTATTATTAATATGAGGCATGATGATGCTTAACCTAATCCTGTCTTTTGTGCCTCACAAGCAGGGGACAATCAGATGAGAATATTATCATTTAGCTAGTAAGATGTTACTTACGAGGTTACGATGTTATATTAAGAGTGAATCAAAAAACTTTGAGTACTATTCTTAGGGTTAAATTTCACAAAGCGGTCATAAATAGGTACAGCGTGGCTGAATTTTTTACCCATGCTTTTTTTATTGGAACCAGTATAAACAGTAACTGGTCTGTAGCTAGGAATGTGAATAGTTACAGTAAGAAGTAATTAATGACGCTGGTTTACTCGTCTCTTCCGACACATGGATATAAACAGTAATACTAGAGTTGCAGGCATCAGATATAATCTTGGGTCCATTGTCAACTGTTCACCATCTATTCCAGTTTTGCTTACTCACATGCTAACCTGCCACATGCTTTAGTAATTGTCTCAATTATGAACTTCATTTCATAAATTGATATAATATTAAAATATATTATATGCTATTCTACTGGGATCCCACTAAGCTTTGTTATATTAACCAAACAGATGATGGTTAGCTCATTATGTAATAGGAAGGGGATACCTGATGGCCAGCTCATTATGCAATAGGAGGGGGACACCTTATATGTCCCTCCTGTTGGTCCCATATTTTGGGTCATTGGGGATATATATATGCACGCACACACGCCCTTTAAATTGCATGTATTTTTAAATTTCTAATCAAAATCACTAAAATTGCTTATTTGCGAGAATTTACTCTCAGTGTAACTGATGTGAGAATTTGACCTTTTATAATTCTGTTTCAATTCTTTTTAAACTAGAAAAAAAACCATCTTTATTTCATCTCCAAATTTTCATCTTGGGCAGGCCGGCCCGGACAGCCCATCCTCTCATGGCCCATGAGGCTCAAAATAGCAAAAGGCGCGGCCTGCGGTCTGGCCCATCTCCATGAATGCAGCCCAAGAAAATACGTCCACGGCAACATCAAACCGTCGAACATCCTCCTCGACGGCGACTTCAACCCCTACATCTCCGACTTCGGCCTCATTCGTCTCCTCAACGTCTCCGGTGCTGACCCTTCCTCCTCTTCCTCCTTGGGCCTCATGGGCGGTGCTCTCCCCGCAACGAAGGCAGTTCCTATAGAGAAGCCCAATAGTTATCGGGCCCCAGAGGCCCGAACACCCGGAGCAAGGCCCATGCAAAAATGGGATGTGTACTCCTTTGGTGTGGTGCTGTTGGAAATGTTGACCGGAAAGGCGCCGGACATGTCATCGCCGTCGGTGGCGACCACATCGG